AAAAAAAAAAAAGGTAAAAAAGTCTAAACTAAGTGTTGCGACTAGGAAGACAATATTGTCATATGTTGCTAGTATGTATATCAACAGATTAAACAAAATGAGGCTTCAAATTTACTTTTTTAACCTAATAAAAATATTGTGCTGGAGAATAAATCAAATAATTACAAACTATTTATTTAGAGTCTATCAATAAAATCAAATGATGTGTATGTAATTATCGTTTTATAGTCACGTTACCTTGGAAAAAAGAGATGTATGCTCCAGAGGTTACATATTCATCTCCTTAAAAGTAAACTACAGTAAACTCCATGAATTTTAATATATGTGGCATTGAAATGACAAAGCTCTTTGCTATAAAATGTGCCATAATCTCACTTCACCTTTCATTTCGTCATTTCTTTTCTCCCTTTCTCTTCCCACCTGCACATCTCAAATAACACTTCTCCTCCCCATTCCCATTGCATGTGGCCCACTTTAAGTTTCAAAGAGGGTAAGTAACAATTCGAATAACAACTCTCTAATAAATGTATCTCTGCAAAAGAAAAAGAAAGAAACCCTCTTCCTCTGTGTGCTTCTGTGTGTGTGCTGCAATCAGGAATTTTACTTTTCACTTGTTTATAGTCTGCCTTGGCTTTTCTGTACTTGTCTCCAGCACCCACCCATCATATCTGCTTCTCTCTTTCCTCAGTCGCTCACATACGTCCAGCTCTAAACTGGACAAGTAACTCGCTCACTGGTGCAGCCACAGAAGGTGACCCAGATTACACAGCGCTGGGCGCTAATGCCAAATCGTCTTGTTCAAGGGCAGCTGCTCTATGTTTTGCCTCATTGATATTCAGATTCAACAGACACAAATCACACAGCCCTTTTGACAAGCACACACTTTCCCTGTCTTTATTTTATACGTGTTCAATTGCTACTGGCCTTCATAAGCACACAGCTGGGGCCATTTGGTCTTCTCTGATTTTCCATATTGCCATAGATCTGACAAGATTATCACAGAAACATCGCTCGTTCCTATTTTGAGAAGTTTGTGGAAAATAATATCTTCATTTATAAAACACAAGTACGTACAACAGAAGCCCATCTCTCTGGCAAAAGAAACGCTTTGACCTGTTATCCTTTCAGAAACATTGAGACTACCATCTTGATTGTGAAAGCAAATGTTGCAATACAGAGTTCTTTAAAAGTAAAGATAAATACATGGTATGTGGCAATAAAATGCAGTATAACTTATGAATAACTTCCTTTTAAAGGATATCCATTGTAAAGTGTCAAATATATTTTATAAATGTATAAACACAACAAAACATCTTCTTTTCTATGTGACCATTTTATTCTTCTGCTTACCACTAAAAAGGTTAAGAACAAAACAATTTCTATACCTAAATACCTATTGGAGATTATGGGATCACGAAGCTGACAATTCACATTGACTGGTATCACTGATTGGTTTAACACAGCACACTTGCTCACACCAAAAAGGAATAAAAACTTCTTTTAGCATTGCTTTAGAACATGCAACATTATGAACTATTTGCAAGAAATATAAGAAGCCAGAAATAAGCCAGGAAAAGTGCCAAAAGTGTAATAAAAGGGGAAGCCTTACTTTTTATATAGATGAGCAGTGAGCAACTGAGGTGGATGACGAGCAGGTAGTTAATTTTCTTAAGCGCCATGGTCTCATGTTGAGAACATCCTCGGATGCGTTGCTGGTGGGCTGATCCCCGGCTCCTGATCCCTGTCTGCCTCAGAAAGGAGCGGGTGCCTCAGAGCTCCCAGGTGCCATCTCTGTCCCACCCCTCTTACAGCTTCCTCACAGAAAACACAGGGACTCAGACTCAAAAGCAGTTGTGCTTCTTAAAGGATGAGGTGATTTTTCAAACCTGGTGCAGATTTTTTTCAGGCTGGACTGGATTCATCCCCCTCTCCGGCCTTTTCGAATAGTTTTCTTCTGATAATAATGCCTCCGAAAAAGGGCCTAGGTCAGGTTCATGCCTTCAATCACTATAAATAGAGGGATCAATTTCTGATAACTCTTGGCACATAACTACCTGGCCACTTTTAAAGGACCACCCTGCATTACTGAATATTTACTTTTTTTTTCAGAACAAAATTCATACACAAGTAACTTTTTCTATTCATAAAGCCAACTCTCAAAACTCAGTCAGATTTCTGTTGTTGATTAGGTAGGTCAAGATAGAGAAAAAATTAAGCTATTGCATAAAACGGACAGCGTTCTGGAGATTATTTAGGGGTAGTTTTTCATCTGTAAATCCAGAGCCCATTTTACACCCTGCTCATGATGTTATAACCTCTGAGATTGCTTGAATTTTTGTTCTACTATAATTGATGAATGCAAACATGTTTATTTTTAAGATATTTTTAAGTAGTAGAATATTTTTCTTCAGATTAAATTGTTCAAATTCTTAAAATCGTATTATTCTCGGATACTTCATGGAAACATCCATTAATTAAAGTTAGAATGCCTTGTTCTCTGATTGGCATTAGTGATAACACAGCCTTTTTTCACTGCTAAAACTGGCCACTTGTTACACTTAAAGTGCAATTTATATAACCAATTTTGTGTAAATCTGAATAGATCTGTTATATATTTGACAGTATAACATATAGTTTAAAGTCTTTATATTTCCTGCCCATCTACTTAGTGGTTCATAATATTTTAATAGTCTAGACTATATATTTTTACTAATATTATTCCCTGGCCTACTTCCAGAAAATTTTACTTGTTAAAGTGGGGTTTATCCATTTAAAATTGTTTATTTTTTGCAGAATTCATGCCAATTATTATTCATAAAGACTTTTCCATATGATGCAAATAATTTAACAATTAGAGTAAAGTAATTTTAGATTACAGAGGCTTCGTTAATCTCCTACTCTAATCCCTGTATTCTGTCAGAGAACTGAGATGCAAATTATTATGTGTGCCCAGAGCCATCTGGTGAATTGGTGGCAGCATTAGGACCAGAGTCTCCACATTGATTTCTAAAACATTAGTCCTTCAATAAATCTTGTGGATTTGTAAGTGATATCAAAAGCAAAAAAGAGAAATATCCAATTGAGACAGACCTGTCTTGTCTTTGGGCTTCATGCAGGTGACCCAATTTCATTTCTACCCACTGGTGTTAAAATGTAGAATGAAGTGGAACACCTGCTCTTGAACCCAGACGGAAAGAGAGTTATTTATGAAAAGCAGGAAACTCAAACCTGCACTGTGAGTGAATGTAGGTTCCCATTTGCATTGAACACGAGGTGCAAAATTTCCAGCCAAAAATCTGACAAAAAAAATAGAGAGAAGAAAAGAAAGAAAGAGAGGGAAGGAAAGAAGGAAGGAAGGAACAGACAATTCAGAAACAGGGAAATCAATGGGACACCGAGATGAGACTAATGGCAAACATTCCGTGGGAATGATACAACTCACAGTTCACACAGGCTTCCCATGGAAGGCAACCACTACCAGAAGATGAGCTCACAACCTCAAACTATGGACCAAACTAGAAACCCGCTGCCATGACAGACGTCAGACACAACAAATGGGAACATTCACACTCAAAATACTAATGATAATGGAGCTAATTAAGAGATGTTAAAATAATACTTTGAAATAAATCTGCTCATATTTTTTAAAGAGATGAAAGAATGTGTTTATTTCATAAACCAAGAGCAGGACATCATAAAAAAAGGTTAGGCCTATTTGAAAATGAATCCAATATAAATTCTAAAAGTGAAAAAATAGTCACTGAAATTTTTTAGAAAGTTTAATTCATAGCTTAAACAGTAGACAATACTATAATCAGATAAATGGAAGATAGATCTGAAGAATTCACCCAGAATAGAGCAAAGGGAAATGAAAAAATGATCCACAAGAAACATGGAAGGTAGACTAGAAAGATCTATTCCAGAAAAAAGGAGAAAATGGGAGGAAGTAATCACCAAGAATTAATGGTGTAGATTTTAAATATAGGAGAAAAAATATGACTCCACTAAGTTAGAAAAGCTCACTACATCCCTAGAAAATATCAAATTTAGAGTGCAGCAAAAATAAACAAAATAAAATCTTAAAAATCAGCACTTGTCTTTAAAGTCTAAAAAGTCTACAGCGGAACAATAATCAAAAAGACAGAAGACTTTTTATCAATGAATTAGATGCCACAAAACAAAGAAAATAGTAGAGGAAGATTTGTATACATGTTCAATTTGAGGTTCCTGTTCAAAACCAAGTGAGGATATGTGGTGGGTTCTAGATATACAATTCCAGAATGCAGGACAGCTGTTCTTGGTGGAGACTATAGATAACATATTAACATACAAATATTTGTTGAGTGCCTACGATGTACCAGATACTAGAGTCAACATCAGGAATCCATATGTGTGTGAGACAAGGTCATTGCCCTTGTGGAATTAAACTCTAGAAAGCAGATGCAGTCTAGTGAGGAAAAAAAAAATCTTTAAGTTCCTTGATGCTTAAAATTTAATAAGAGTATAAAGAGTAATGGTTACCGTAAGCTGAGTACCCACCCTGTAGTATAGATTCTTTCATGTATAGCATCTCCACAAATCTTAGTTCCTTGATGCTTAAAATTAATTTAATAAGAGTATAAAGAGTAATAGTTACCGTAAGCTGAGTACCCACCCTGTAGTATAGATTCTTTCATGTATAGCATCTCCACAAAGTAGGTTAAATTATCCCAATTTGACAACAGCAAAAGAGAGATTGAGAGACTCAAGTCAACGGTACAATAAGTAGTAGAGTTCAGATTCAAGCCCAGCTTTCTCACTCCAATGTTCTTTATTATTGTTATAGTAGTATTTATTTTAATTATGTAAGTAAATCATAAGTGTATTCTTGTGAAAAAGCTTATGTATTAAGATAAATCTAGAGAATCTTTGATGAACACCAATCCCACATTCCTCCCCAGAAATAACCATTGTTATTGTTTATGAAGACGGCCTTATACCAAACTAGACTGCAGTTTGAAAGAGATAGAGATGATAGATAAATAGATGCATGGGTGAGAGGATGGATGTATAGATATAACATTATTTTGCTTTTTAAGTAATAATATATCATCCGCAACTTGCCTTTCTCACTCAAAAATATGTCTTGGATATTTTTGCATATTATTAAATCTATCTACTTCACACCTTTTAATGCCACATGGCATTCCATAGCAAAAATACCATAGTTTAACATTTCTTTTTTTTCTGAACATCAATGTTTGTTCCAATTTACTTTATGCAAACAGTGATTCAGTGAGTCATTTTACACACGTTTGTGCAAATGCACAAGAGTTTTTCCGGGGTAAATGCTAAAATTTACCCCAGAAAAATACAAAATTTTGTTGATAATTTTTGAAGCTGGTTATTGGCTATGTAGAGGTTCATCATATTATTTGATCTACTTTAGTGTAAATTATTTTGCTTTTTAAGTAATAGTATCATATCATCCACAACTTGCCTTTCTTACTCAAAAATATGTCTTGGATATTTTTGCATATTATTAAATCTATCTGCTTCACACTTTTTAATGCCACATGGCATTCCATAGCAAAAATACCATAGTTTAACATTTCTTTTTTTTCTGAACATCAATGTTTTTTCCAATTTATTTTATGGAAACAGTGATTCAGTGAGTCATTTTACACACGTTTGTGCAAATGCACAAGAGTTTTTCCGG